AAGCTTCACTACAAAACAGGAAATAGTTAAAAACAAGTGGAATAGATAAACCACTTTACTTTTCAGCTTTATCTCACCATCAGAATCACAAATTGCACGAATACTTTACTTGTGACACACACACACGCGCTTGTTTGACACACTTGGCATGTTTCGTTTTCAAGATGAATCATGATTGTTGTACAATGATTTTTACAATAAGTTTGACAACATGCTACGTAGTAGGTTGTCATTGGACAGTTTGGAAAACACTTTTTCGACACCTACACCATTGTCAAGGATGTTGTACAAATCCATTGTACAAATGGCTTATTCCTTTCAAGATGGAGCGCATTAAATGTATTTTAGTCACAGCAAGAACAACTAAAGAAGGTAAACTAGAAGATCAAGTTCTCATACAGAATGTTTAATCCTCTTCAACAAAAATGAAGTTTCGTCAAAACGTTAGGTCAAACCTCAAGCCAAGGCCAACATAGACAGAACCACCATAAAGAGCCACTTGTTTTGTGATCTTGATGTCTGAACAAATCCACACAATTGAGTTCGATAACAAATTGAACTAGAATATTCGATTCATGTCAGACGACAACAAGAAGAAACTAAACCTTATAAGGAATGAAATAATACAATCTCGAAAACTTAAAACCCTTGAAACCAAACACCACATAGTTTCCATTGCAAGTAATAGGATTTTGATTTAATGAACTCGTAATACGTGACAATCTGATTCAATCCCATAACATCAATAATTTATCAAATAATAGACTTACAACCCACAATTTGCATTTATTTTTCATTTTGGGATTGTTTCAATTAGTAGTGTAAAATTAAGCAGCAAATTTGGGGGCTTCCCTGTGCTTGAGGATTTTCTTCTCAAGATCATCTTTCTTGGCTCCCACCACCCTCTCCACTTCTTTCCCTTGCTTGAACAGCACAAATGTTGGCATTGCCTGTACCCCGAATTCCTTTGCCACATCCTGTTAAGGATACAAAAATCAAGTCACTTATATATGAAAACAATAATCAGTGTATTTAAGGCTCAAACTCCTCTTGTAGATGCAACTTCAAGTCTCAAAGTGGTATATGAGCTAAAAATAGAAAAGAGCAATTTATTGTAACAGAGTACGATATCTTAGCATAGACGGGAAAGCGTAAGCAGTGTGGAGGACACACTGTTTCTAGTGTCTACCCAACTCGTTCTTGTCCAGTCAGATGGAATGTCTAAAACTCTGCAATTTCAACTATCAATATGGTATATGTGCTTAAAAAAAACTCAAAAATGGGCAATTGGGATTGTTTAAAACTCAATTGAGCCGCGCATCGCTTGAATATGAAACAATAAAACTAAAGTGTAAGGACTTCGGCTCATCCACCAAACAAGTTGGAAATGTTGAAAATTGAATCATACATCAAACAAAACCCCTACCTATAATTAAAAATAATCAAATCGAATTAATTATTAAGGAAAAATCATTAAAATCCTCAATTCAAGATAGAATAAATATTATAAATTGAAAGAAAATCAGAAGTATAACGTACAGAGAGTTCATCTACATCGATTTTGGCAAAGTCGACATCAGTGTATTTGGAAGACATCTCATTGAAGATCGGCTTCATGAATTTGCAGGGGCCACACCATGTTGCTGAGAAATCGACCACAATCTAGCCATTGAAAAATCATATATAAAAATTTCAGATCTCTAACATTAAAATCTCAAATTTAGAATAGAAAAAATCAAAATCAAAATAATTAACATTTTACCAATTCCAAGTCTAGGATCTCAGATAATAATCGAACAAAATGTAAATTTTATTCCAACTCAGATTTCAAAAATCCATGAGCAAGTGTTAATCAAAATGAAAGCATAACAAAAGAAGACAATAATAATAATTAGATAAATTTTAAAATTCAAATCATATTCATTAATTTTTTATTTTCATTTTTTGGTCAATCGCAGGTATTGGCTCAATTAACGGGGATCTCGGAACTGGAAATCGAGCAAAATTGAACAAAAATTGAATTCGATTTCAACACCGATTTCCAAAATTCATCCGGTACAGCGTTAATGAATTGAAATTTGAAAACACAAACTAAATAAGATAATAATAGATGTATAGCAGAACCAGTTTATTAAGTTGCTTGGAAGAATTAAAGTGGAGCTGCCAGCGGTGGGAGGAATGGAAGGCGGTGACGCGAGATGTTCCAGACGCCTCGGCCGATGCCGACTCAGATGCCGCCGCCTCTCCGCCCCCGGTTAAACTTGACAGAATAGAACCCATTGGGGTTTGTTTTGCTAATTTTGAGCGACGGCTTTTTGGGCGAGTCAAATCGATCAAACAAGAAGATACAGTGATCGTGGACTTGTTTAGCTTTGATATATGTGGACAAGAATGGCCACCAGACTTAAGATAGATATATTGTTCCACCACAACTTTACAGCACGGGGATGTAGCTCAGATGGTAGAGCGCTCGCTTAGCATGCGAGAGGTACGGGGATCGATACCCCGCATCTCCACTTTTGGTCCTTTCACCTTTTTGTATTTAATTTAGAGCTTATTTGGGAGTGATTTTTTCATCCCAAAAAATTAATTTTTTTTACTGTTATTTTACTATTTCATCCATCATATTTGGCTTCTTCCCTCACAGGTGGATCCCACTTTTCTCCTAATGATCAAAAAATCAATTATCAAAATTACTTCCAAACGGACTCTTAATTTATTTTTGTAGAAATTAAAATCGATGCCTTCATGTGACCTTGAATCGTGATGAGGCAAATAATTTTTGTTCGCTATTAAAAATATTTAAGAAAAAGACGAGTGAAGATTATTTCAAATATTGTATGAGTTTATTTTTCTTGGCGGATTTTAGTGTTATCCATTCTTCATTCTATTGACGAGAAACAACACGTTTATCTCACCATAAATACATCGAACTAAGCAATTAGCATTTGAAAGATAAAATAAATATAAAGAAAAGCTCAGAACTCATATGCTATGTTTCCAAAGCTTTAAGTTGTGTTCGCTATTATATATTTAAGAAAAATACAAAAAATTGTTACAATATCATCAATTCTTACTTTCAAGGGACAACAAACCACGAGTATATTACACCTGTAACATCCACATAAGCATTCAGAAAATACGATAAACATAAAGAAAAGTTAGATGCTTGAACTGTGAACACTATGTTGCAAATGCATCAACCCACAAATTAAATACTTGTCTTCGGATTAAAACTGCGAATATATTCAAGTTCAGACAATTGTGAATTACTTACTATTGAAAGAATCGCATCAAAATTTCATGCCTATGCCAACTAAAATATGCGACGCTACACTGTGCAATTTGCATCATTCTTCTAAATCACATATTGGTGCACGAGGTGACATTCTTACATGCCCTTTTCCTGGTATTGAAATACCCTATAATTAGATTGTACTGACGATATTTTTCTCGACAGATTCTTCAATCCACATCCAACACATTTAAGAATGATCGTCCTTGATGAATCAAGCTTCATAACAAACTTAACACCTAGAAAATCTCTGATGTGTCTAAGCAATTCAATTCCATATGGCGCGAGCCATTGAAACATCTTGGGGACATAATGCATAGAGAATAAACAACAAACCCTGCAAAATAAATGGAAAAAACTACCTTTCGTTACAAAATAAATTTGAAAGCAACCACCTCGTTTATGTTTAAGGATATGTGATGTAACAAACGTTGTCCAGAGTCATGTAATCTTATTATATTAGGGCATGTTTGATTGGCCATGAATTCCATGGAAAATGAAATTACTTTCCATCTTTTACATTGTTTGATGTCACTTACATGTACGAGTAAAATATGTATACCATATTTTTATGAAGCTAATTTTTAAATTTAATTGCCTCAGAATAAATACGCAAGATACAATGTGTGTTTGTGTGTATTTATTTCTCAATACTAATTAAGAGTGAATGAGAAATTAAAGCCACAATATAACCACTTGAAATTGAAATAAATTGGAAATAAAAATTGGTGAGAAATTGAAAAAATGTCTATCCCACATAAAAAAAATTAGAAGAATATAAACCACTTTATATCACTCAAGTTTGGGACTTGGGTTCGGGCATCAAGGGGCACCACTAGTTTTTGAACTAGAGAGGATCTACATACTAGTAGGTTGAGCTAAAGCCTATACGCGCACATCGTCATCGTCCGTCCGTCTGATCGGCACGGGTCATGGGCTTGACCTTCACCCAATTGGTATATATATTTTTTAGTAAAATAATATTTTAATTATTTTATTTTATTAATTAATTAATATATTTTAATTATATTATTTATTTTTTCTTCCCAAATTTTTTGTGCGCGACATGTGGTTTCTTCTAAAATTTGACAGTTGCTGACAATTAAAACTGCATGTCCAAATGGGTTGTGTCTGCTCCAAGACACAACTTTTCGTCTGTTATGTGTTTTGGACACAACTTTTCAACTTCAATAAATAGAGCCCCATATTCCCGATTTTGTTCATTCCAAAATTTCTTCTGCTTCCCTCTCCTGCAAAATATTGTCCTTCTGTCCTGTAGTGCCCCATATTTTGCATTTCAGTACCAAAAATTAATTTCGTGCATATTTAGTCCTCCGATTTTCAAGAGATCAAAATATTAGTAGGTTCGTTGAGTCTTGTAATTTGGAGTGTTACTATTACAAGTCGAGGTCATTGTATCTTGATAGAGGAGTGCCAAGAGACCATCAGCACCAGTAAAAAGTATTATCTTCTTAAGGAGAAAGAGTCAAACTCTTACATCGACCATTATTCGTTCTAATTTTATTGCACTAATTTTGTAAGTCGAAATTCTGCCCAACTATTTATTCACTATCTATTTTATAAATTACTGCACGACCTTCTCGAATTTTATTCAACAAAACTTGATGTGCCTGATAAAATATATTATTTCCAGAAATCCAATAGACAACAGACAAATCAAAGTTAAAGACAAATAAAAGACGAGTAATTGCTGATTTCAAATTCTGATTACATTTTTCAGTTTATATTTGAGATTTGATCTGCATTTCACTAGAATTTTATAAATTTTGGTGATTTCATTAGAACTATGTTTATTCAGATAGGTGTGATGATTTTTAGGTACTGTTGTTACTTTGCCAAATCATAGATCAACATGTGAGACACCAAACTTCACTATGGAAGAACGTCCCATTAAAATTCTGGTTTGAAACAACAAACAACTGCAGGTTTTGCGGCCAAAAAACTAGTTATTCCAAGAGAAATTTGCATATGGGTCCCCAAATATTCACACTTTATCATTTTTTTCACGATGACTTACAAAATTCTGCCACCAATTTGATACCTATATCGCACTTGAACAACTTTCTAAGGACATTTTCTTCTACTACCCATCCATTTTCCTTTGTTACCCTTCAAACAAAATGAAGCTAAAATGGTCTCTATAACTTATTATTACCCTCTTTAAATTAAATGGTCGTGAGTCTTGTGACTAATTCTCCTCAACGGCTTAGTGGAAGTCACACTAAAAGTAATGGGAAAACATTAATTAAGTTGACTCGAATGAAATAATTTAATAGAAACAAGATTAGGCAATGATCTCATATTCCCAATGATCTCACCCGATAAGAGTCAATCTTCAACCACAATAAGCTCTATTTGGATTGCTATTTGAGCAATGAGTACACCTCTAAAAGGTTATTTGCTCTATGGATCTTGCTATATTTATATCAAATTTTATATAATAGGTTAGATAATGTCAGATGTCATTTTATCATTTGTCAGTTTAAAACACAATCAACTTTTTCTTCAAATTTTTCCCTTCGACATCATTTTATGTAATCCCTTATGTATCATTTTTGTATACAAATAGCATAATTCTTGCTCTATAACAGAAAAATGATTATGTACATAAAAAATAATTATATATATATATATAATAACAGTGTAGTAATTTTGTATATAGTAGGGGCATTTGAAATATTTTTATCCATTTTGATTATTGGAAATTTTTTCTCTAATAAAATATTATTATTTTCTTTATATATTTTCATGTAAAAAAGAATTATAATTGAAAAGTAATTTATTTCCCCTAACACTAATACGACAAAAAACTTAATCCATTATTTTAGACTCGTTTACAATCCAACTCGAATAAAATGAACCTACTATTAGCATGAGTTGACACCTCGCTACGGCATCAAATTCGCAAAGCACCACAGATATCAAAAGGTCCATTGTTGTATACTACAAATTAGTGGGTCTTTTTGTAATTGATAATGGACAAAATTCTAGCTCCATCATAAACTTGCCTTGAAAACAATATTAAGTGCGCATTTGAAACACTGTATAGAATTATGAAAATGAAATTATAAGGGATAAGGTAACAAAATTATGGTTGAATATTCTACTATAGAGGTTGTAATAGAAAAAAGGGACGTATCCAAAATAATAATAATAATAATAATAATAATAATAATAATAAATATATATATATATATATATATATATAAGAAATAATTTTTCCTACTTATACATAATTTACTCACAAGTTAATTTATTATTTAAGTGATTTTTTTAGTTATAAGTAATTATTTTACTTATCAAGTAAATTTTTTTCTTACTAGTATATTCTCATTTCAAGTTAATTATTTTTTAGCTAGAGTTTATAACTTAACAAGTATTTTTTTATGCATAAGTAATTCTTTACTTGAACAATTTTTGATCTTTTTTTTTTTAATCTATAATCAAGTTTTTTATATAACTGAATTTGTTACTTATATTTGAATTTTTATTTTTGCTTATAAGTGAATCTCAATGTATAAATAATTTTTACTTGAGTCATTTCTTATGAGCGAAATTTTTAGTTCTCATTTACATCTTTCAATTCAACTAACCTTATTGCATAAAATAGTGTATTAATTTTCTGCAATTGATTATGATAAGTATCCTTGATTAATTTAATCAGAATATTAAGTGCACCACTAGATAAGATCCAAATCCAATTTAATGCGACATGCCAAATATACCGATATTTCTGTTTCGAACAAGCTCTACAGACCATGTTCACCCTTGACGACGGAGGATACTATTCTTATAGGTAATATTGAGACATTCTTCCCTTTAACTATTGACAGAAACTTGAAATCCATGTTTTAAAGGCTCAAACGGCACCCAGATCAAGGTCAATAATGGGAAGAGTTAATTGTTACAATGGTCACTAAATTCAGGTCCATGACTTTGATTGACCACTGAACTTTAAAATGTCGAATTTTGACCACTGAACTTTGAAAAATGTCGAGTTTTGATCGCTGAATTTTAAAATGTTGAGTTTTAGCTACTGAACTTTAAAAAAT